TCTAACCTCAAATTTAATAGAAGGTACCGGGGTCGGACTACTAGTCTTTGCCTTCCTTTTTAGCTAGTCGCCGAGGGTGGCATGCCTAGTATATTCTGGGAATCTTGAACACAAGTTCCATCTGAGTCAGAATGACCGCTACTTCAAATCCTGCGAGCCCTCCAATCCACTATTGAACGAATACATAAGATGAAGCACAACTGGATAAGCTGAAGTTTGCCTCATATTTTGTGTCCTATGAAATTTATTGTTGAGCTTGGGGTGCAAGGCCCCGCTTGCCTGGAAGGTGAAATTAGTGAATGCGATCCATTGTAGAAGATTTTTACTATTATTAATGTGTAGAATCTACTTGATAATGTGTCATACCTATTGATTGCACGGATTTTAAGCAGCACATTACAATTTAAGCAAATTTATATGGCGAAATGACCATATGACACTGGAAAATTCAATAGTTGCACACGTCGGAATCTGCCTCTGATTGGTGAAATTCATCACTCACAAGGCCCTCTATTAGTAGCGCAATGTCTCTAAAATTGGAGTAGTCGAAAACTTTGCCCCCCACCAATGTCTTAGATTGTCATTTACCTCAAGTTGCTTTACAATACTATCACAAGCCTAACAGGTGGTTATCTTCCTCTTCGCTGCACGCAGTATTGGATGCTTTCGACCTTGCTTAGCCTTGGACTGAATAAATTGAGGGTTTTGTTGAATAAAATCCTGAGCCAGTACCTGCGCCCGGAGATAATTTGCACTTATTTAGCCTATCCTAGGCTATTTCCGTTGCAGTCTACTTTAATTCGTAGAACTCTAATTTTGTAATAGCTAGATCCTAATTGCAATTTATCTTCATAGAAAGTATGTTAATGAAATTAAAGATAAGAAATAGCCTTTTATGCCCTAGATGCTACTAGACGCAGGAGGATCAAAAATAATCAAATTGAGCACCCACTAAATAGACCAATCAATAATGATTTTAAGTGTAAGAATTAGTAGATGTTTTACCTAAAATTATGATTTGTAATTATTAAGTGAATTTTGTTGGGGGTCGAAACTCAACACCTGTCAGTGGTGTCCCCTACGAGTTTCAAGCTCTCACTGCATATTCTGCAGAGCCGAGATTGAGTAACAAAGTCCTCACGTCGACGAGGATTCCCAATCGCATTCGCTATCTGTATTGTCTTCATCTCTCAACACGTACCCCTTTCACCATTATCATGAAGCTAACCACGATAAGATCAGATGGTAGGGTTGAAGCCCTTCTCATCACCAACCCTCGATAATGGAGGGGAAGCCATCCGATGAGTTTCCGAAGCGTACCCAGCACCCGATACGGCGACGGTGGATTGGATCAAGTCGACCTCGAATGTTACAAAGAAGGGAGATATAGATGAATATGCGTACCTCATGTGGTCTCGATGTCTAGGCCTCGCCTGGCTGGGGCTGCAGGTTTTTTAAGACTCTATCCCGCGCACGCAGTTTCCATTGCTACCATTTTTTTGGGTATAAGGTTAGGAGGAGAAGAAGTCTGAATTTCATGAGTAAATACTAAGCCGAATGGATATTCATCCCGAGCAAAATATTAATGATCTTTGACGTAACAAAAGAGGCAAGAAGCACTGTACAAGGTGTAACCAGGGCAAGAGAGAAGCCCAATGTGCTACATGTAGACTCAAGCTATACAATAAACTCTCGCATATGGCTCCGCTCAAACAGTACCACTCCTCGCAAATCCTCATTTTATCATAGACTTTGACGAGCCCTCCGCTTTTAATTACCTCCCATCTTTCACCTTTAATAAACGAAATTATTTACATTTGAGGGAGTATCTTAGCCGGCGAAAATCGCAAAAACCACTGGCCCTGCTGCTTTTCTAATTCCGACATTAGGACCAAATCAGAAGACTTAGTGACCCTTCTGAAATGTTCAAAGAGGCCGACCAGCTGGGCGCTGCAGATATGTGGCTACCTAAGGAAATTTATTTTCTGCCTTTCTGGCCTTCTTCCAACTCTTTCCCGAGGGTCGTGCTGAAATGTCAGAAAAGTCTTGATAGAGCTTGATTGCTTTATAGTATCTTGGCCCACATTCCTCGTGCTGTATAGGGTATTTGAGAGTGCAGTTGACTCATTTACAACGGGTGACCCTATGTAAAACTACCAGAAACTGTAAAGCTTACCCCACAATAGGGGATGGATTTTGGGGATAGATAGATTATTCAATTTTCCTGATTTGGCGCCTTGAGGCCCATGCAGGTTTTATCAGAAGACATGTACTCTAATTAGGATGCCTCAATTTAACGCGTAGAACACTCACACTCAGTTTTCATTTGCAGATACCACTCGAGGTTAACCTTTACGGCGTATAACTTGTTCCGTGCATACCCACCACAGGGAAAAGCGTGAAAAACCTGTAGCTATCCTGGTGTGCTTTCGTCATCCCATAGATACAATATCACCGCGAGAGAGAGTGGTGTGTGGGTTTTACAGGATTCGAACCAGCTTTCTCCCGTCTCATGTGGAGTAGGTATTCAAGCTACCTAGAGTCTACTTGGGGGACGAGCCGAGTGGGATACCACTGCACTATCCAACACTCTAGGGGTCATTGCGGAGGTACATACCTACGCATCATCAGCATATATGAGCCGGCAAAGACAAGTTCTTCACCTTCCAGTGGTGACTGTGTAATTGTCCAGTATACTCTGCATAACTAGGATAGCTAAGAAGAATCGCATCGGAATTGAAGTCGGAAGCAAACTCAAGTATCACAAAAAACGATTACTTCTCATCAATGTCGGACCTTTCTTTCCCACGCGAGTCATTTAACCTACTCGTACCACGAATCAACTCGCCCCAACGACTGAATAGGCAGTCACACCAAACTGTAAAAGAGAATTTGCCTTATCAAAATCGGTCTTCTCCCAATTATAGAGTTGAGATGTTATGTGTACCCGCGAGGAGGAAACTAAGTCAAAATATACAAAGCTCGTGTTTTGGTCTTTGGGGAACCATTGTTGTCATGGGACTTCATATCTTGAGGAAGGATAGACATCCGGGGCGTGGGATATGCGAGTGAAGAGGTCACAAATAAGCATACAAGAACACATATTTTTCAATTGATTTCGACTATGGGGTACTCGAGAGTGCCGAGACTATGATTCGGATAGTGCTACCGACACTTTAAAACAGGCAACGATAGAAGGAGTTATGGTTAGTCTTCTGGTCGATATCTCCTCCAGGTAGAGTCTGGGTAGCCTAGACACCAATCTTACTCGAGAAAGGAAAACTGTAAGGCTATATCTCGCGCAGTGGCTACATAAAAGATGACAAAGGCATCTTGGGGTAGTCAAAGGTTTTTCCTGTTTTCCCTTTGGTGGATATGAAATGTTGAGAGAAGAGTGAGGGTCCCTAGCTCAAAGGTCTCGATTCATATCAGCGAATGCACCCACTACATGAGTAGTCCAAATTTTAAACTGAGTTTTGGTCGTATATAGTCGTCGGGGAAGAACTAACCATATCCGTGTCATGCTCTATGAGTCCAAAGCTTTTGCCCGTTACCAATAAAAATACATCCATCAGTCAGCATTACAGAAACATTTTTTCACAATTAAAGAAAATAGGAGCACTGTTAAAAGTCTATCCTAGGTCAGGGAGCAGCCCAATGTGCAGGGTTCAAATTGGATCGAGAAAACAAACTAAACTAACCGATAATGATGTACAATCCAAAATTGTTTGTCTTATCACTTTATTATTAGATAATTCGAGTGCCTAATAATTTTTTCTCCACCAATCTCAGTCAAAACAAAACTGTACCAATTATAAAATCCAAAAACTTTCAGTAACTTGTATGAAATACTTAAATGATTCTCTACCTTTGTCAATATATTCTCTGCTTTACTATTCAATTTTACGGTCAAATTCTTGTTATTCCCAAAGTCATAGTCATGATCCTTTAGGGAAAAACCTCAGGATCTGTTGGAGAATACTTTGCGGCCCATATTTAAATGTTATCATTAACTTTTAAAGCTTTTTTGCTAGCTTTCGCATTCCTCAAAGCCATAGTCCTCGTAGAGATTTGAATACTGTTCTATTCTATTCTTTAGCCATGATTGTCCCAAACACTGCGGTCCTGTAAGAGTGTGATCTGGTTCAATGATTATGAAGATCAAATGTGCTAGTGGGTTATCTAAACGCTTTACAACTTTGGCTTGCGTCTTCCCAGAACCCTCGACGAAGATAATCCTTCAGAGTCGAGATTCAGTTATAAAGAGAGGATGTGCTCCGCTCGACGAATCGCTGTTATCAAAGACGTATACTACATGTTTGGTCATAGCTCAGTCTAAAGAGGTTTCTTCGTCACACCAAGTCGTTGAATTATTAATCACCGACAATACGCTGCGGGTGGGCTGTCCAAGGATTGTTTATGGATCATGTTTCAACAGACAAAGTGCCTAAGGAGAGCCTTCCTCAAAAAAACCTAGACTTCCGCCCATACTCCACAATCATCCCACCACCCACCATTGCCTACCTTGATGAGCAGCATAACAATGGATAATGAGTGAAAATTCATAGAAGGGGGATTATGGAGAAGACGTGCTGAGAGAAAAAAAATTGCAGCGAAACTAATATCTCTTACTGTGAATGCCACACTCGGGTCGGTTTAGTAGGTGCTATGACTTGAACTGCTATGTTTTTGTGACAAGGAGATGTGCAGACTATGCAAACGTCAAGGGCTCAGACGTGTGGCGGCAGAAGCTGGGAGGGATAATACTGGACTGCACAAAGGAGGGGCGCTCCCTGGGCGGCTGGACTTGGCGAGCTTGATTTGACAGGTGAAGTTTCGCACGGTCGACCCATCCAGATGGGTAATTTTCTCTCGCACTATGTATAGTCATCACCCTAATCCCACTAATTTCAAGCTCCTGAGGGTGCCGAAGCTGATAATTGCCTAGTTTGTAAAATTTTAGGACAGCTTGGACGTGTAAGAAATTTATCAATGTCAAGTCATTCCTGAATACAGTTGTACTGGTTATCTTTCTTTCCTTCGTGCGAAATTAGATTCTTATGTTTAAAGTATCGAGCTAAGTAGTCGATAACCATTCCACCGGAGATTACACCACCTGTGATCCAGCAGCCATTTACGAACCACCACCAACAATCATCTACGCTTTTAAGATTTATCCGTTTAATCATAATGGCTAGTGAAGCAGCTGAACCACCACAGCTACCGATGAAGAAAGCCGGACCAGCGCCAGTAGCTACACCGGCTGCAGTGAGTGAGCCAACTTGAAGAATAGCCAAGGCACTCAGAATCTGTTTTGCCCACTGATCATGTCGTAAAGCTATGCTTTTGATCCCAGCCTTTGCATCATCTTTGATATCCAAGTGAGCGTATATCATATCATAGATTATAGTCCAAGCAATATTAGAAGCGTATAAGAATGAAGCAGCTGTAAGGGCAGGCATATTTTGCATGAGGTCAACGCCAAGAGCTGGAAACCCCATTATGGCTCCCCAAGAGAAGGTTAATCCTAGAACTAATTGTGGATAGTGAGTATACCTTTTGGCCAGAGGGTAGGTTACGACCAAAATTAAACTTGGGATTCCATAGAACAGGCACTGTTCAGGAAATTGAAGCAATATGCCTAGCCCAGTGAGGAGTTGGGTTCCTGTAAATGCGAGAGCTTTGAGTGGGCTCACCGATTTACGCGCAATCGGTCGCAGTCGAGTTCGGCTTACGTGAGGGTCAAGATTACGATCCCAGAGGTCGTTGATGGTGCATCCAGCACCACGCATAACTAGGGCTCCGGCGAAAAATAAGAGAGACGTTTGTAGTACTGAGCTGGGCGACGGATGGGGCACAACTAACGGGGCGGCAAGAAGAGTAGAGAATATACATGGGAAAAAGAGGTAGTAGGTCCCGGTTGGTTTATCTATCCTGATAAGTTCTGCATACGGCACCCATGACGGTGGAAGCCTTGAGAGCAGCCCTGTTTTTGGCGTTTGGTAAGGCGCGGGAATGAGTGGACTTGACGAATACTTCGTATAAGCTCTCAATGTTAAGTTTGCTGAGAGTAGAGAGGGTACTGGGGGTTTTTTCGATCTATCAAGGATAATGCTTTGTTTGGCAATGAAGATTGCTGTGATTTTTGGCTTATGTGGATTGACAGCGTGGCAGCATGAGCGAGTGACAAAGTAACTGTCCCGGACTTGATACATCGCCTCTCGAAGCCTAGTCGAATGGAAAGGTCGGCAGTTTGCCATAGAGCAGGCTATTCATGCAGAGTTCTTCCTTATGTTAGCTCGTTAGCTTTATTATGAGGGGTGCAGACTTCACGAGCTTGATAATCCCTACGCTAGTCGATATTCTTCCTAGCCACGAGTGCCACTGTAATTTGGGAACGGAATAGATTTGTTAAATGTGCATGTGCGACACAGTCGGCCTGGTGGCTTGGATTTACAAAAAAAATAAGCCAAAGCCTATTATTACTAATTAATTATTACTCCTATCGGTGCACCCTTGGCTTGCAACCCACATGCTTGGCAATTTACACGTCTAGTCCATATAATTATCTTACAAGGCTAAAAGCTCTTGGTTCTAAAATTGAAAGCTCTAAATGCTAAACTATAATATCCCATGGCGTGCCCACTACACCCAATTGACGTGTGCCTCGCAGAACTGAATTTCAGCGTCAATTGAATAGGCGGTGATGTCTCCTTGCAATCGGAATGCCTAGTCAATATTACCCACAAGCACAGTTTGTGCCTCTCTCGCCAAATTTTGAGTTGGAAAAACTAGTTGCGAGCTCCAATAACTTTAGTTATGCTGCAAGAATATCAATAGATCAGCTAAAGCATCATCCTATCCAAAGTCTTGAAGCCTTGGTGTCGGCTGTAGTAATTAAGGGCGGACGACCACTAGTCATTGAGAACTGGGGATCAAGTTTACCCACCACATTATTCAGTACAAAATGGCTAGAGGAAAATATTGGGACACAAGGTAAGCAAATGTTAGAGATTAATTGATGGAATTTAACTAACTTGGGACTTTACAGCGGAGAATGTTCGCGATATTTCTAATGAAACCGATATTCACATGACAGTTGGCCATTACTTAAGGTCCATGAATCAATTGACCAAACAGTTTACTTCATCAAATTATCAAAGTACTAGGCGCCAGCGATTGTACATGAAAGACATAGACTGTCCAGTTGCATGGGCGGAACATCTTCAAAATATTCTTCCAGGATGTGTTAACTATCTGAACGATAACATCGACTCTAAAATTAACGGGCTTAAAGAAATCGATGACAGCATCGATGAAAATAGTCAGGACTGCTCCAAAGAGAGTACTGCCATAGCTGGCGATTTGATGTCAAGTCTTCCCCCAGATATGCGCGCTCAGAATTTGATGTGTTACATTGGTCACGAAGGAACTTATACTGCGATCCATCAAGAAATGTGTGCTACTCTAGGGCATAATATAATGGTTGAAGCATCGAAAGACGAAGGAAACGAGCAAGAAGGTAGTTCTATATGGTTTATGACCGAGACGAAGGAGCGAGAGGTTGTCTCAGAATATTTTTTATCCATACTTGGTCATGATATTGGGGTAGAAAAGCATTTTGCTCAAGTAAACGCATGGAAAAAAGCACCCTTCAACGTTTGGATCGTCGAACAAAGAGTAGGCGACTTAATTTTAATTCCTCCCCTAGCTCCACATCAAGTCTGGAATCGTGGAACCCGTACAATGAAGGTTGCTTGGAATCGAACAACCATTGATACTCTTGAACTTGCACTTCACGAAGCCCTTTCGCGATGTCGAATGGTTTGTCGAGACGAGCAATATAAATGCAAAGCCATTATATATTACACCCTCGTCAAATATCATGATTTTCTACTACGCGACTTACTATCCGAATCGATGTGGCAGAATAAGCGAACGAATCAATTCCTTGATGAATTTCAAAGGCTCTTTTATTTATATCAAGAGATCATCATTAGTGAGATGTTCTCACCCAATTATCCACAGGAGGAAAATGTCGAAATGATACCTTTTGGCTACAATATAACCTGCTCTTACTGCCGCTGCGATATATTTAATAGATTTCTTACTTGCAAAAAATGTATTGTCTACGGTCCAAATGGCATGGAAGATACATATGATATTTGCATGGATTGTTACGCTATGGGTAGGTCGTGTGCGTGCATTTCAAACTTAAAATGGGTTGAACAATGGGAGTGGAAAATATTAGAAGAGAATTATGAGCTTTGGCGGACTAGCATTATAAGATGTAATGGCGACTCAGATGACATAATTTCTCTTCAACCACTGCCAAACGCATTCCTAAATTACAAGAAAAAATCAATAGCTGAAGTTTGTCAGGAACAGTTGAGAATTCGACCTAGTACACACGAAAATATAACAAATATGTCCCCAAATCACTATGAAAGTGAAACAGAAAGTGACGATAAAAGCTGGAAAAATGTGCCATACGTCAAAGAAGAATTTCAAATTGTCAATCTAGGAAAAAAAAGGCGTAGGTCAACAATAGAAAAAACGCACCGCTGTCATGTCTGCCTGTATCATCACTGGAGCTGGAAGCTAGCGTACTGCAGCACTTGCACCCTTGCATATTGCTATGGTGTTCTATGGCGAGCGTTTGACTTAATGCCTCAGACAGTCATGGAAAACAAGAAATGGCAATGTCCCAGGTGCCTCAAGATTTGCTGCTGTGGAAAATGTCGGAAGTGTCGAACACAGAAGCCATACCAACAGAAGGGAACACAACTTGGACATGATACTAGAAAAGTGGCAGATCATAGGAGTGTCGAAATTCTTGTAGATTTTTCCAAACCAAACATGTCATGGTTACGTAATGACCCACATAACCCTCAAGATTCGATTCGAATTAAGCGTTTGAAAGAAAAAGCAGAGTCTACTAAATCTCAAGAAAACTTTGCCTTAGACAATTATCTAGTAGGACATAGTGGGCTCGAGTCGCTAAAGAATATGGATGACTTTAGTTCTTTAACAGCTAATATGAACTATATCGATCCATTTCTACGCGATTTAACGGCACCTGAATCAATTGGCTCTGTCAAATGAGTAAAAAGGGTATAAAATATAATAATTTGTCGTTTATGGAGTGTGGAGTTGGGAGACAGCGTATTATCTGATGATACTGTTAAAGAAATATCAGATGAGCTTGGTTACATATGATTTAATAACTACATAGTATAATCCAAGCCTAGATATGTTTATCATATTGAGACGTTTGCAATAAGTAGCCAAGGCTATTCCTCGATTAAATACACAAATTCGTTCAAAGTATTGAAGCTAGTCGAGACCCTCCTATAAAAAATATCGCTATGTTATAAATAATCGTATCAAAATATTCACTTACCAGAATATAAACTAGAGAGAAAAACTTTGTAATAGCCTACACTACACTTACCTCATCATGACATGAAATCTTAGGTATGTAGAATGCAGGAATTTGTAGAAGGAAAGTTTCAAGTTTCAATATAGGCACGGCAACTATCTCATCATCAAGCTATACATGAAAAGAATTATCAAAATTTAGATTGTAAATCTTGATTATTACATTTAGGGCATGACCCTCAGGATCAACTGGCATATATTTGTAATATTCCAATTAAAAATTAACCTACAAAGTAAAGAACTATTTAGATAGATCTTTAAGTAGTCTTTCATAGTCTAGGACTCAGTAGAGACTTAAATTTAAATCAATCAATCTTGATTATTACGCAGGATATCTATGGAAATTAAAGGAAGATAAAAATCAACCATATCTTAGTCTAGTAACCGGTTGCATGACGATTAAATTAAGCAAAAATATTTATAGAATAGAACTGGTTCGTGGAAATATCTGGCAATTTCTATCAAAAATTGCATATTTCTAAGATGCTTCAATGGTCATTAAATAGGTGGGGGAGAGGAAGACTCAACACCGGTCAGCGATATCCCCCACTGCCCTCCAGCTATCAATTAAAAGTCTACGGAGCCAATATTGAGGCTGATAATTGCAAGGGGAGCATTCATTTTTTGATGAATCTACGGCTCTCTCAACTAGCCAAAACAGTACATTGAATCTGCGATAGGCTAGCATACGGCACAAATTATATATCATGACTTTCCTGGTACCCCACCAAAGCCTTTGTTTAAGAGAAGACTCAACACTTATAATTAGTGTTCTCTGCCATTCTGAAAGAGAAATATTTTCTAAAATTCAGTCACGAAACGTAAAGGATTTGAAAGTTATCGATAAGATGACATAAAGCCATGGAATTTGCCTGTTTTTGATCAAAAATCTGACTTGCCAAGATTTTGCGCCTGCACACATCAATTACTTGCATCGAATTCACTCCAAATTGCGTAGACAAGTTGGAGTCACCCTAATTTTCTTGCAGTGAAAATGAAGTCTTTTGTAACACCGAGGTGATAAAATTGAAAGAGGGCTCGGAAGTGAGTCCTCAAAGTATAAGATTTAAAGGTAATAACAAAAGTCTGGATGTGCTGCCCTCTTATCCACAACTGTTCTTCGCTCCTTAGGCCAACAACTGCTAATATATGTGTGTGTATTATTGTACTACTTGAGTCATAGACCATCTAGCACATTGGGCTTCTCTCTTGCCCTGGTTACACCTTGTACGGTGCTTCTTGCCTCTTTTGTTGCCTCAAAGATCATTCGTATTTTGCTCGGGATGAATATCCATTTGGCTTAGTATTTACCGGTGGAATTCGGCCACATTTTCCACGGAAACTTCTACCCAAAAAAATAAAAATGGTAGCAAGGGAAACTGCGTGCACGGGAAAAAGTCTCAAAAAACCTGCAGCCCCAGCCAGGCGAGGCCTAGACATCGAGACCACATGAGGTACGCATATTCATCTGTATCTCCCTTCTTTGTAACATTCGAGGTCGACTTTATCCAATCCACCGTCGCCATATCGGGTGCTGGGTACGCTTCGGAAACTCATCAAATGGCTTTTCATCCATGATCAAGGGTTGGTGATAAGAAGGGCTCCGACCCTACCATTTGTTCCAATCGTGGTTATGTTGTAAAGGTAAGAGCTTACGGAGGTTAATTGGCAGAAGGTTTACGGATGATTATCGATGAATCAATGTGAACTGCTGATATATTTGATATTCAGCACTATGAGGATTTAGGAGGTAGAAAGCGCTAATTATATACACATCTGAGGTAGCTAGACTCTCGCCTTATTTACCCAAAACAGTATCACACAATATTCTAGTCTCCTCCATCTGGCAGTACAATCTAGAAACACTTTCTATACAGTGCTCCATTGTTTCTCTACTCATCATGGAGCCATCTAGAAAGTTCACCCTTCACCCTCAGAGATCATTACTCTTGTGCATCGTAATCCTAGGCATCACCAGCACAACAGGTTAGCTTCATGATAATGGTGAAAGGGGTGCGTGTTGAGAGATGAAGACAATACAGATAGCGAATGCGATTGGGAATCCTCGTCGAGGTGATGACTTTGTTACTCAATCTCGGCTCTGTAGACTCTATAGTGAGAGCTGGAGGTTCGTAGAGGACATCACTCACAGGTGTTGAGAATAGTCCCCCTCTACTAATGTAAAAGTACAGCCCTAGCATACTACAATGGCTAAACAGTAAACCTCCCTTGATAAGAAGCAACTAGTAATCCTCAATTATTTAATAAGAAATCCCTTGGGCAGATCCATTTATACTTATGGCTTTCTGTGACGGTTTCATGGATCATTGTGGCATAGCGTAATATGAAACGCCATGTGTACGGCTAAGGTAAAACACAAATAGTAGTTCAATGCACTTCTAAAACCAGCAGGGAAGACTGATAAGAATAGACTAGTTTCATTAGGTGATGTGAAGCAGATTGTTTGGCATAAAGGCTGTGTGCTATGTGCTGTTTTGTTTGTTTTGTTTATTATTTTACGTTGTGTCAGCACGCAACACGTTTCCCAAGGCCACATGCCGGCTAGCTCAGTCTAGAAAAACTACCCGACGTGCCGACGCTTTTAAGATCCCGGCATAAACTACCTGGGCCCTGGCCCTCCTGCCAGTTGTTCCGAACTAAAAATACACCAAAAGCACCCTTCCTCTGGGTCTTCTGTTAACTGTACTGCAGACAGGACTAAAATGTAAATCTACATGCTAGAGAGGAGAAATAATCTACCTGTCACAGACCAGCTCTATGATATTGTGTTGCACCTGCCCAATCGCCCCATGAGTACACTCAGTAATAGGGTCAGTGTGTTGCAATAGCAACGGTCACTAGTCAAGATACTGATCAGTTGCTATGTTACAGCTGTGGGCTTTGCACCCTCGATTGTAGTGACCGGTCTTAGGTACTTAAAGAAGCTCTTGCACTGTGTTTAGACTGTAGCTTCTTGTCTTGTAATTTAACTACTCTCTTGACCTCATCTTCGTCCTCGTCTTCGTCTTAGTCCTCGTCCACGCCTAGTCCTCGTCTTCGTCTTAGTACTCGTCCTACTCTCTATCCTAACCTTAGCCCACCGTCCGCAAGCCCTGACATTACCAACGTTACAGATACAGCTACTAGTACGTGTTTGAGTCCCGCTAAATAGTTAGTATGGAGCGAGTGTAAAAGCTAGGAGTGGAAATTGGTCCCTTCAAAAAACTTAGTCTTGTGGACCCACTTGCTGAAGGCGATAGCCCCTTCTGGAGAGCTTAGTGTTGCGATCAGACCCACTTATAGATCACACAACTTGGAATCGCAAGTATTGGGCAAGTGGACCGACAGGACAAGCGACCCTGCGTCAATGATACGTCATCAGCACACGGCAATGACAACACCAGTATCTCAACCATACATGATAATATGATAATATGACGCAGGTATATCTAATGACATAGTTGTTGAATGGCTGAATGGTTGGCAGTTATTACTATCAATGGTATATTGTATGTATTGTCTTTGTGTGTAAATACTCACTGCTAGACCTCTGTATATGATCAACCTTTTCCACTCTTATATTCAATAGTCATCAATATAGCAGATCTACAATATATATCTGTCTTCTTCACGTTGGACTTAAAGTGCTATTCTACATCCACTCAAGTTGACTGTTACACCCATTGTGACAATTCTTAGACTTCTCATAACCTCGTTATTACAATACTTAGAGCCCAGGGGATTTCAGGGTTGGGATGTTGAGGTTCACCTTGCAGTCGTACTCGGCTGCGCCCTAGTCGACAAAAGAAGAAGTGGTCAGGTGACTTTTCTCGTCCGCAGCTGCAGGTCAAGAGAGCTTCGAGGTGTTGGAAGCGGCGGTGGTAGTCTGCAAAGTCTCCATGCCCTGACCGTGCAGCAAGAAGTAGGCCCAGTGTTCGCCGGTCGAGACTCCTAAGTTCCAGTGAGTCTCCAACATTTTCTCTAATTCCAAGTTGTTTGTATCTTTTGGGGGCGTTTTGCGTCCAATATCTGGTCGCTGAGTCTTGGGATCTAATTTTGATATCTCTCTTTGCTCTAGACATTGACGGTGCAAGTGAGGAGGCTGGGAGTATGCAGGCCTGTTTGGCAAGAACGTCTGCAGCTTCGTTTCCCAAAATACCAACGTGTGCAGGGCACCATTTAATGATGACTCAGCCGACTTCTGTGAAGTGGCAACGGTCTCTTTTAGTCCATGCTGTCGCAAGCCCTCTAAACTGAGTGATACGAGGAGAACTAGAGGGGGTGGGGTTGCATACAAGAAGCCGAAGGGCAGCCTCCTGGTTGTCTAGGCACACAAATACCTTAGTGGCGTATCGGGCCATAGGGTTACGAAGGGCTGCGGCGAGTCCTTCGGTTGCTCCGGCAATTTCGGCGTCATAAACCTCAGCAGAGTTCCCGAGGGAGAGTAAGCCCCGCCCAACTTCCTGCAAAAGGCCCCGGTATATCACGTACCCAGCTCCGGCTTGGTTGTCGAGTGTGCTATGTGCTGTTTGTGGTAAAATTATGGAGTATAGAGATAAGTCAAGTGATGGTTAATGGAAGTAATTGATGAAGGGGGGTTTTTTTTTTTATATTAAAGTCCTGAGCTAAAGCTCTAGGTCCACTATCGGTACAAGACTGGTGGA